TCTATCTAATCCAACCCATTGTGATCAGATTGAACGGTTCAGTCGGGTTGACCCAAAATTATGTCCACCCCTAATAGCAATATAATATCAATGCTCTCGTGCTTTGTTTTATTATATTTAAGGCTTTTTATCACAAAAGGTCACTGAGGTTTGCGAAACTATCAGATTTAATCATTTATGATTTTTTGTGTCAGTTGTAGTCCTTAAGGTTAATACGTGTGCTCACAAATAGTCATTGCTGTTAAGTTCTGTCTAAAAATATGTTAAATTGATGACGTGACACATATGTGGGTCTCACATATCTAATGATATGACGCCACATGAATTAAAAACAATTAAAACTTATAAAAAATTTTGAAAAAAAAAACTTAAAAGAAAAGAAAATATATTTTAAAAAAAAAACAAAATCACCATCATCTTCTCCATCGCACTAAAAGCCAACCCCCACCAGACTCCCTTCCCCCCGCTCCTCCCCCCCCCCTCCTCCCTCCCCCCCATAAATTTTTGGCTCAGCAGAAGAAGTTGGAAGTGAATTTGGTGTTGCCTGTGAAGGATAATACATAAGGTTAGTGTGGCTGATGAGCAGGAAGCATTGGTTAATGGGGACCAATAAGAAAAGAATTTCAGTTTACCAGAACATATGTTACTTGCAAACTGTTCCCAGTCGATAGAGACAAAGACAAACAGTCCTGCCATTCACAAACATGATCAATGAAAAGGGTTTCAATTACTGTTGATACTATATTTTCGGTTGAAAAAAAAAGCTGAAACTGCAGAGAAAGAAGGATAGAAAGCAGAGTATTTTGAAATGTTCAGTATATTTTCACTATAAAAAAACACAGAGGAATTACATGAGACATGACTATATTCCTCTTCTCAGTCAAAATTCAGATCCTATTTTTTAGGGAGCAAGGACTCATCTCCAGCCATACAGACCATAGGAGGCTACGATCTTTCCACTTGGAGAAAGATCGAATGACACAGTACAATCTAAATGGGATAAGAATAACAGTTGTGTAGGTTTCTAAAAACAAAAATAAAACTAGCTGTTACACATTTAAACTAACGGTTATTTCTAAAAAAGGCAAATTCTTCATCTCTTCAATTTCTTCATTCTCTTCACTTCCAATCTGCAGGATTGTCATCTGCAGGTTGATTTAAGCTAAGTATGCAGGTTAATTCTCAACAGCCTCTCCTAAGCTGCTTACTGGCTTAACTCCAAGCTTCAGTCTCAATTGATTAAACCTATCTTTCGACAAAGCCTTTGTAAAAATGTCTGCAAGTTGTTCTTCACTTCTGCAAAATTTCAACTCGATCACACCTTCTTGTAGAGCTTCTCTTATAAAATGATACCTTCGGTTTATATGTCTAGTTCTCTGATGAAAAACTGGGTTCTTAGCCATAGATATAGCTGACATATTATCACAGAATAAAGGTGTTGCCTCAGCTTGCATTTCCCCAAAATCATCAAGAACAAACCTCAACCAAATAGACTTTGATGTTGCCTGAGATGCTGAGACATACTTAGCTTCAGCAGTTGATAGTGCCACTGTGTTTTGTTTCACAGATGCCCAAGAAAACGCTTCATTGCCAAAGCTAAATGCATAACCAAAGGTGCTTCTGCTATCATCTTCACTTCCTACCTAATCTGCATCACAGAATCCAATGAGAATTGCAGACTTGTCCTTCACATACTCAATGCCATAGTTAAGAGTCCCTTGCACATATCTTAGTACCCTTCGTGCAACCCCCAGATGCTTCTTGGTAGGGCTATTCATAAACCTTGATAGCAAACTTGCAGCATACATTAGATCTGGTCTAGTTGCTGTTAAGTACAATGAACTTCCCACTATTTCCTTGTAAAGCCCTTCATCAGCCAATTCACTACCATCCACTTTCTTAAGCTTTTCACCAGTGGGCAAAGGAATTGATGCTGGTTTGCAGTCTTCAAGTCCAAATTTCACAAGCAGTGATTTGGCATACTTGCTTTGATGGATGAATACTCCTTGATCCGTTTGTAATATCCCCATGCCCAAAAAAAGGTGTAGAAGTCCAAGATCTGACATTTCATATCTCTGCATCATCTCTCTTTTGAACTCAGTAAGCATTTTCTCACTACTTCCAGTGTAGACAATGTCATCAACGTATATTGAGACAATTATCAACCCTCATTCATTATCAGATCTTGTATACAACGTGGCTTCACCTGTGCTTCTTTTGAACTTGCATAGAATGAGATATGCATCAATCTCACTGTGCCAGGCTTTAGGAGCCTGTTTAAGTCCATATAAGGCCTTTCTTAACTTGTAAACCTTGTGACTTGCATTCTTTAACACAAAACCTTCAAGCTGTTCAACATACACTTCTTCATCAAGCACACCATTTAGGAATGCTGACTTAACATCCAACTGAAATAACTTCCACCCCATTTGTGCTACAAGAGCAATGAGAGTTCGAATTGTGTCTAACCTTGCCACTGGTGCAAAGGTTTCATTGTAGTCAATCCCAAGTTTCTGAGCATACCATTTTGCTACAAGCCTGTCTTTGTGTTTTTGAATAGTTCCATCTATAACAGATTTATCAACTGACCTCTCAACAAGTTCCCAAGTATTGTTCTTTTCAATCATTTCCAACTCTGCATTCATAGCTTCTTGCCATATCACTTGTTGCTTCTTGATAATTCTCTGGTTCTATAATACACATGTGACATCTTGCATATATATCTTCCAGAGTTCTCAACTTCACTGGAGTGGAGCTAGGTGTAGAGATTTGACTGTTATTTCCACTATTATTCCCATATGACTCATCAACAATAGTGTTTGAGTGAGAGCTTCCACCATTATAAAACTGGGTTGCATTAGTTTGTTCTTCACCAACTTCAACTTCTATCCCATTCCCTTCAAGATTGAAAGGTATTGAGATAGACTCTACTTGATTTCTTTCCCAATTCCATGACTTGTTTTCACTGAAAATTACACTCCTTGAGAGTACAATTTTCTTAGATTGCAGACCATACACTCTATATCCCTTTTCACAACTTCCATATCCCATGAAAACTCCCTTTCTGGTTCTGTCATCGAATTTATGCCACAAGGGTGATGGGACATGAGTATAGCAAATACAACCAAATACTTTCAGATGCTTAATTCCAGGCTTCCTACATGTGAAAGCTTCAAAAGGTGTTTTGTTCAACACAGATGTTGTAAAGCATCTATTTTGAAGGTACACAGTTGTGCTCACTACTTCTGCCCAAAAAATCACAGGAATTCCCTTCTCAGTCATCATAGACCTTGCCATCTCACCAATTGTTCTATTTCTTCTCTCAGCAACTCCATTTTGCTGAGGAGAGCAGGCAATGGTCAGTTGCCTCTCCATTCCCATGCTTGCACAGTAATCCTGAAATTCATGTAAGCTATATTCACCACCTCTATCACTCCTTAGCTTCTTCAAACTGAATCCACTTTGCAGTTCAACAAAGACTTTGAATTTCTTGAACACATTGAAGGTATCAGACTATTTCTGAGGAAGTATACCCAACACATTCTTGAAAAATCATCTATGAATGTGATGAAATGACAGGACCCGTCCCGAATTTTCCGGAACCTGAGACGAACCCTGCGGAGACCCCGGCATCACACCCACGCCGGGTTCACTCCTTAAATCTATGTCCTCATTTACCAAAGAGGATTAAGGGCACGAGACTTTTTGCCGAAACTTCGGCAGAGTCTCCCCTGTAAATTGAACATTTCCCCAAAATTTCCACCTGCATAAAACACATTTATAACCCAACTGGCAGCATGCACAATATAATCTCATGCAATTTACATAAATGGCCTCCGGCCTTCAAATGATTCTAGCAGAACTGCCCACAATGCTTTTAAAATAACTTAATGCATCAAACATGCATATACCAAATTCCAAATCTATTTATGCACACCTTCACTTGCTCAGTCCACAGGACGAGTCTCAATTCAACCAAGTTTCGGGACCATCAACGAGGTCCAAACCAATCTCAATAAGACCACCTAAGTGGGGTCTAATCTGTGGCTGCACCTAGTAACTTCAGGCTGCCTACGTACCCTACTAAGGGATCAAGCCACACGTAGCTCTTTCGTATCTATCCTGGCTCCTAATATCAAATAAACCATTACCACCACACAAATACATACATTCTAATATTTATCCAACACAACACACCAAACACAATCACAATGTCACCCCTCATACGACGGGACGTACCCGGCCTCGTATGGGGCCTGTCAACACGCCGGCTAATCCAAAGACGCGTGCGACCTCACCACTGGGCCTGGCTACATTCTCACCAGCCCTCACACAACCATAACTCCCCTCATACGACGGGACGCACCCGGCCTCGTATGGGGTCTGTCAACACGCCGGCTAATCCAAAGACGCGTGCGACCTCGCACTGGGCCTGGCTACATTCTCACCAGCCCTTATACCATCATATCACCCACTCATACGTCGGGACGTACCCGGCCACGTACGGGGCCTGTTCACACCACCTTGACTACTACTTCCTTGCTTGTTTTGTGAATTGAATCTATTGTTCCAATTTCCTCCGGCACTATTATTCCACCTTGAGCCATTGTTGTTGTTCAAGTTTCCACTTTGAGACCAATTTGATCCCTTTTTGTCTTGTCCCTGCCACTTTTGATTTGGCCTACTCTGTGAACCTTTATAGGTACCAGTGACTTGGTTATTTCCAACCTTGAGGCTACTAAAAGCTCTCTCAGTTCTTGTCAATTTATCTCTTTCATCATGCAGGTCCTCCCTTTTTATCAGACCTTGACAGATGCAATGACCTCTTCAACTCTATAACATCAAGATCTCGAGTTTCTTCAATGATAGACACAATGGACTTATATCTCTACTTAGACTCATCTACATAACCACAAATGCCTAAAGGGATTAGTTTTTATTTTATTTTTAAAAGGGACATTTTTTGGTAACATCCCTCCGATGCCTAAAGTCGAGTCAACCCTAATCCAAAATTTTCACGCTCTCCCTCGCAAACTCTCTGCCCAAAACTTCATCTCCCTCTCAAACTCTCGCCCCAATTACTTCCAGCTCCCTCTCAATTTTTCACTCCCTCTCAAACTGTCACCTTAAAACTTCATCTCCTGAAAGTCTCTCTTTCTTCTCCCTCCTCCATCACTGCCCCATTCTTGCTAAAACTATCAGATGCTCAACCATTACGATTCACAGTGAGAATCATTCTTCCATTTCAACGATTCTCAAGCCAGCTCACACAATTTCTCAAGCCCAGACTCTTAGACGGAAGTTTAAGTTGACGATTGTGTGGTTTTGTCTATCAGTGAAGCATTTCCCTTTCCCCCAAAAGTTAGGGTTTTGATCACACCCCACACCTCCTCTTCTGGTAAGCTTTTCTTCTCTCTTCACAACTAAAATTTAGGTTAAACATTCTTTCTCTCAATACTGGGAAAATCTTCAAAGTTTTTGGAGTTGCAGAGCCGTAACTTTTAGAAATTGTTGTTGTTACATTTTCCTAAGCAAACATCTGCTACTAATTTGTCTTTTTGGATTAGAAAGTCTAAAATTGTCTAGAGATCTACAAAGCTGTTAACTTGGGATTAAATGATGCAGCAGTTTTAATAATCAGCACCAGATCAATTTTTTAAAATATTTTTTTATAGCTTTTTGTTTTAATATTCCATAGCAATTAGTGTTAGGGAATGCTTTTAGTGGACTGTGTATATAAACCCTCGTTCCCTCACTCTTTCAATCTCATAGCATATCCCCACACTCTCAGAACTAGTACTTCTGCCGTCTTTAATCTTCAACGGAAAACATGGAGCAAACTTTCATCATGATCAAGCCTGATGGGGTTCAAAGGGGCCTGGTAATTTCTTCAAACTCTTCATCTATTGTATTCTTTTGGTACTTCAATTTTTTAGCTTTATTTTGGTCTGTTAGTTTTAAAAACTGGGCAAAATCTTATGTGTGTTTGAGTGGGCTTGCCTAAGTTCTTGTTTTTGTTTATGAATTTCATAGCAAGTATTACTCTGGTATGGTGTTTGGTTGGTGGGAAAACCTAGGAATTGAAGGGTTTGGTTTTCTTTTGGGTGGACTGGGGAGCAAGCAAATTTTAACAATTCTGAGCTGGGATTTTAGGTTTTTATTTACATGCATCAAGTTTTAATATTTGTAGTATGTAATGGTTGGATTTTACATGCATAATCTTGCGTTTTAATTATCTGTGGATGTGTGAAGTGGGTGAACAAAAGCCGTCCTTTTTAACTTCGGCCATAGTTTTTTTCTTACACAGAATCCAATAAACTATTTTAATCCAATTCGTGTGTATTGTGTAATTATGTGAAAGTTTTCAAATTTTCTGGGAGGTTCATGTTTGTTGCAGGTTGGTGACATCATTAGCAGGTTTGAGAAGAAGGACTTCTATTTGAAAGGTAATTTCCAACCAACGATGTTTGATCTTGTATGATTATGTGCACTTTGATAATTTGTGACAATCCTATTTAACAAGCCTTTCCTGTTTTATAATGATTATCAACTTGACTTACAGACAAAAACTTTCGGACATCAAATTTGATGTATGGCTTACAGTTTTGTGTGTTAATTATACTACAATAAGTTTTCTGGGATGCTTAGCTAAATTTGGATGTGTAACTTATCAGGAATTTCTTCTCAATA